TCCTGACGATGTTGCATCCACCCGAACCTGTCATTCATGGGGCGATGTCGGATGGAGAGATTCGAGACTCTCCTCCACGATCGTTGCCATGACATCAACCAGCCTGCTCTCCAACTCCAATGCCATCCTCTTCGGAGGCGCCTCGGAGGACCACGGTGGTCGAATCCCACCAGCACTGCCACTCATCTGGTCAATCCACCAGATCATGGGTCTCGATGCCTTACAAAGGTCCGGAAGCCTCACAACCTCACTACTGGGGACACCCACCCCCATACAGTTACTACCAACCGAGAAAATACAGACATTGATCCCAACCGACAAGGGCTGAAGCTTCTTCTACTTTGGCACCGACAACTTCTCGCCATCCTCCTTCTCCAGCTCGATCATCCTCCAGTCCACCATACCCATATGACTCAGACTCTGAGGACTCGGACAAGTGTTCTACGTCCCCTGCAGCAGTCATCTCCACCCAGGGTCCTGGGTCACCTGAAGAATTCTACACTACCTTCGGTGAACTTATGGGCCGCTTGAATAGAGCCTTGGAGGTTGAAGTCGAGCACCAGCCCAACATTAACAAGGACAACTTCTATGATATTGTCCATAAAGAACAATCATCCACCATTACCATCCCGTTAATTACAACCCTACGGGAGGCTATGTAGGATACATGGATCTCTCCTGACCAGCCTCAATCGACAAAGTCAAAGAGCAAGATATTCCCTTCCTCCTGAAACATCCGAAGCCCAACTCTATTGTGGTCAAGTCTTCCCAGGGGCGAGACAACAGGGAACACTCGGCCCCTAGGGACAAGGAAGGCAGAAAAATTGACCTTATTGTGTGGCGAATTTATGCGGCTATGGGACTGGGCTTGAGAATTTCCAACTACAAGGCAATGATGGCGAGGTATCAGTATTTTCTGATGCAGCGGTTGGATTCGATCACCTCGTCCATCCCAGAGCAACAACGTGACCTGGCCTGGGTTTTCATAAGAGAGGCTATGCAGCTCGTGATTCAGCAGCTCACTACAGCCCGCCATCATGTCGACTGCGATTCCCACACTCTAGTGGGCTCCGTTGCTCTCCGAAGGCATGCCTGGCTATGCTCCTGTAATTTTCCGGAGGAAACCAAGTGACGGATTGAGGGGATGCCTTTTGACGGATTGGGCCTCTTTCACGACCGGACAGACCACAAGCTCGAGCATATTTATAACACTCGGGCTACTGCTAGGAAGATGGAAATCCCAGGCTCAACCCGTCGTAAGTGGCATCAATCTCGCTATCCAAGATATCAACCTTACCACCGTTTCCAGCCACACCAACAATTTCCCCAATGGCAACAACAAAACCGCATGCAACCAGCTACCCAATAGCAACAGGGCCACTGCCGCCAACCCCCCGATAAAAGGCAACGTTGATGGGTCCCGCGAACTGATCCTCTCTCTCCTACACCCTCCCCCCTTCCCTATGGGGGCCGGCTGCAAAGCCAACTCCCTCTTTGGGAGACCATCACATCTGACAAATGGGTCCTTTCCATAATTGAATTTGGATATAGAATCGAGTTCAATGTTATACCCCCTTCGGGTCCAGTATTATATACCGCCCCATCGGAAATTCTTAGAGAAGAAGTATCCCAGCTACTCCATAAGGGAGCAATCCGCCAAATCTCCCATTCCGATGGACTCCGCGGTTTCTACTCTAGATATTTTATGGTACTGAAGAGGGATGGTGGCCTGTGCCCCATACTTGATCTAAGGGGCATCAATGCCTTTATTACGGCTAAGAAATTCTGTATGACCACCTTACAAAACATCCTCCCCCTGCTAGAGAGAGATGATTGGTTCGCGTCCATTGATCTGAGGGATGCCTATTTTCATATCGGTATCCACCCATTTTATAGGAGGTTTCTCTGCTTTACTGTTTATTTTTGAACATAATGTCCTCCCCTTTGGACTTGCTACAGCCCCCAGGGTATTTACCAAGTGCATGGCTCTGGTATGTTATCTCCTTCGTCAACAAGGTGTTCAAATTTATCCATATTTAGATGATTGGCTCATCGTCTCTTCTTCCCGGGACCGACTTGTTACAGACATTGACACTGCGTGCATCCTCCTGGAGAACTTGGGGCTTCTCATTAATACTGAAAAATCCTGTCTCACTCCTTCGCAGGTCATCGAGTTCATCAGGGCACAAATCAATTCGGTCTGGGCGCGAGCATTCTTACCACGGACCTGAATGGAAAGACTCTGTTCCATAGACGGGCAGGTTCAGGAAGGCGCACAAGTTCGAGCACTGGTTATCCAAAAGCTTCTGGGCCATATGGCTTTGACAATCATAGTTGTTCCAAATGCCAGACTACGAATGCAACCACTTCAGCTGTGGTTCAACGCTGTGTTCCAGCCCCTCCGCGATTCCCCGAGGCGACTTCTCCTTCCCCCTGCCTCGGTTTGCCAGACTTTGACTTGGTGGATGAACCCCAACAATCTTGTCATCAGCGTTCCGTTTCACCAGCGACAACCCTCCATTTCGCCCCATACCAATGTGTCTCTCAAGGGCTGGGGAGCGCATTGTTCCAACCTACAGACACAGGGCACCTGGCAAGCACACGAGAGGTCCAATCACATCAACTTTCTCCAGTTGCTGGCAGTTTTCAAGGCACTACGCTCCTTCGAGCCCATTCTGCGGAACCGGTCGGTACAGGTGGCCTCCAACAACACAGTTACAGTTTTTTACCTGAACAAACAGGGTGGTACAAAGTCAGTACCGTTGGCTCAACTATCCCTACAGATTTGGGACTGGTGTATCCCCAGAGGAATTTCGCTCATGGCGATCCATCTGGCAGGAGTAGACAACCAAGAGACAAACACCCTGAGCAGGAAGATGTCATCAACCCATGAGTGGGAATTGGACAACCAAGTTTGCAAAGACTTGTTCACTCGGTGGGGCACCCCAACATTGGACCTGTTCGCGACAGCTTCCAATTTGAAGTGCGCGACCTATTGCTCCAGGGCAGGATCTGGTCCAAACTCACAAGGGGATGCCTTGATGGTGAGTTGGTCGGATTCATTCCTGTACACCTTTCCTCCGATCCCGTTGATTACCCGCACCCTGGAGGAGGCTGCCTAGGACTGAGCACGGGTCATCCTCATTACACCATGGTGGCCCCATCAACCCTGGTTCTCGACCGCTCTCAAACTGTCATGACACACGTTCTTCGTCTGCCATGGGTCCCTCATCTGATTACACAAGGGAGAGGGACGATTCTTCATCCCGACCTCAGCACCCTCAACCTTACCGCGTGGCTCCTGCACTAACCACCTCTGTTAACCTGCGCAGTCTCCGACAAGATACTTCGGTCTCGACGACAGAGTGTCACTCGATACCGAAGGGCCTCACTCAAGTCTCCTCTGAAGCTGCATTATCTCAACAAGAAATTGAGTTTATACTACAGTCCGCCGTTCGACCATCCACTCTTCAATTGTATGAGGCGAAGTGGAAGCATTTTATCACCTTTGCAGAAGCCAACCATTTTGTTCCTGAATTGGCTTTCATCGATAACATCCTTTCTTTCTTGCTCTCCTTGCACCAGTCTGGACCTAAATCTACCTCCATTAAGGTTTACATCACAGCTATATCCCACTTTTGTGGCCCTCTGTCTGGTTCATCTGTGTTTTCTCACACGCTCATTTGGCACTTCCTCAAGGGGCTACAAAATCTCCATCCTCCGACCCGACCGTTGGTACTGACTTGGAGCTTATCAGTGGTTCTCCATGCACTCACCAAAGCTCCTTTAGAACCCCTTGCAACGACGGATTTAAGATTACTATCTTGGAAAGTGGCCTTCTTGGTCGCCATAACCTCAGCGAGAAGGGCAAGTGAACTCTCCGCCCTCCGTGTGGACCCACCATACCTTAACTTCCACCCGATGAGGATGTCCCATTGCTGGACATTTGTAAAGCTGCTACATGAACAACTCCCTGTACCTTCACCAGGCACTACAGGTTGGACGTCCGAGCCAGACAGGATTGCTCCTTCGGACGGACCGTTCTTTCATCCATCCTTCACTGACGACACCGACTCACCTCCGGTGAGTGAAGCTTACTAATCACCCATTATGTGTGATGTACAGAGACCACGAAGAAGAAAGTCAGGTTGCTTACCTGTAACTGTCGTTCTTCGAGTGGTCATCTGTGCTATCACACAACCCGCCCTCTGGCCCCACTCGGTGTCGAGGAACGGGATGGCAGTCTCTTTCTATCAACTCCTCTTCTAGATGACACGCTCTGCTAGGGGGCGATCTGCCGGTCTCCAGAGACTGAGGAAAATGGCGGGCGCTCCGCCCTACATAGCACCAGGGGGGAGGGGTGCAGAGTTCCCACCAAAAACTGTTGTAGCTTGGGTATTCTGGCCGACAACAGGCACTGCACAGGCGCAGTACCCATTATGTGTGACCACTCGAAGAATGACAGTTACAGGTAAGCAACCTGACTTTCTTGGGGCCGGGGGGGGGGAGGTAGGCCTCAATGCCCTCAACTTTTTTATCTATTCCTGAGAATTCAGCAGCTCAAGAAGATGGAAGAGTTAGCCCACTCCCTTTCAATGAAGCACAGAAGTTTAACTATATGTCAAAACTCCAATTCCTTAAAAAAAAAAAGTTTCTTCAGGCTGGGATTGTGTTTCATTTTGTTTTGCTTTGCTTTGTTGGAAAGGGCTCCCCGTGTTTTTCCAGATATGCATTAATGCAATTGTCTAAAATCCATAATGCCCATGATGAATTGTTGTGTTTTGTGAACAATGTCTCGAAGTTGAACAAGAAGTTTTAGAATTAAGGCTAAATAAGTCAGTGCATGCATGTTCAGAAACACACAATCTGGTTCAAAACTGTCATTTGTAGTGCTGTTTAGCATCTGTTGGGATGATCATTGAGCTACAGTTAGTTTCAGGTGCATGAAATAGATACTGGAACAAAGCTAAATAAATTCATGAATACTGTCATTTTTTCAGGTATTAATGTGGGCCCTGTAGTAGCAGGAGTTATTGGTGCCAGAAGACCACAGTATGACATCTGGGGTAACACTGTAAATGTTGCTAGCAGAATGGATAGTACTGGAGTACAAGGTAAAATTCAGGTGAGTGACTTTATAATCTTCAATAACTACATTAGTCCTGGTAAAACAGTGCCCTTCTACATTACGATAGTATTGGGAAAAGTATTGAATAGCATCCTCAATATGCTAAACATATCCTTAAAGTCTCATGCCAGTCACCTTGGTAGAGGGTAGCTTTGCATCTAACTACAACAGTATTCCCAAATGTTATACTTTACCTTTCACCATTGGAATGAATGGCAGCCATTCACTTAAGTGGGAGAAAATGAAGGACTGGACTTGGGAAGCAACTAAACATGCTTCCTTTCATCTGCTGATCCAAGGCGTACATGGCCAAGTCTGCCTTTCTTTACATAACTCCATCTCTTCCAACTGCATAGGCCCATCCAGGATTTCATTTATTGTTACGCTTTTGTTTATTTCTTTTTTTATGGATATAACATTTCTCTTAAAAAGTGAAATCTATGGCAGTCAGTGGAATGCCTGTAAAAACAGCCATTGCAAACAAAAAAAATTGACCGTTGTAGGAGTGGTGAAAAGCATGCATACACACAGTAGATATTAAAAATAAAATTAGATACAGAGAAGAAGAGGTTTAAACCCTTTCAACTAATTTAAAGTCTTGAGACAGGTTTTACCTGGTGTTTAAAAGCTAACTATGGAGGTACTTTGCATATATTCCTTAGCAGGGACTTCCGTTGTTCAGGCAAAGCCACAGAAAAGGCCTCCTCCCCAGTCTCTACCCATAAGTCTAATGGAATATTGGGAACTGGCTGAGTCAGAGAACAATTTACCATATGATTCAAGCTGCTGATACATCACCAGTGATTCTGGTTTGTGTTATTCACAGGTTACAGAAGAAGTCCAGCGAATATTGAAGAGGTGTAATTATGAGTTTGTGTGTCGGGGTAAAGTCAGTGTCAAAGGCAAAGGTGAAATGCTGACCTATTTTCTTGAAGGAAAGGCCAATGGAAATAATTCACAAACTCGATCTTTAAACTTAGAGAGAAAAATGTACCCTTTCGGGCGAGCAAACATTCAGACCAAATTGGGCACAAGTTGTTTATCTTTATCCTCATCCCCCAGCCTTTCAGCAAATGCTGGAGCTGGAACACTTCAAGTATCATCAGCACATACTAATCAGACGCTCCATTATCTTCCTTCTGTGCCAGCCATAAAGGAGGCATGAGAGCAATGAAAATGTTGGTTGTACCATGTGCTATGAATTTGGAAAGCAGAGATCGCTTGAATTTTCACCAGGAAGGTTAATGCTACCGGATTTGGTATCAACCAGGATGTCTACAACCCAACCAAAGAGAACTTGGGAACTGCATTTACAAACTTATGGAATGGATCAAATAAGGGCTAGCAATTCTGTTAGGAAAAGTCTACTACTGATTTTCTGAAAATAAGAAATATTTTATCAGCAATTTTAAATGGTAAATGAGTAACAGAAACAGGCACGCTCATGAGATTGAATAATTGCACACACACACACATATATAAATATATATATGGGCTGTGGGGGTGTCAGATATTGTCAACATTCACCTTTGAATTTTGACATGTGTTGCATTGGGGATATTGTCAATATTCATTTAAAAATGTTGGCATTCTCTAACTTTTGGCATACATTGGAGATATATATCTCATGGAAGTTTATATGTACAAAAATGTTATTTATTTACATCCTGCAGTGGGAAAGAGTGGGAATGCTCTTACTATCATATCCAGCATGCCTGCATCTAAATGTCTGATGCTGCTGTTTGGATGAAGGGTACAGGGTAAATGAGATTTGAGTTTATGGTAAGCATTATGGAGTCCTTCCCATTGGGGAAAAACAAACAGCAGGAAATTGTTAATACTTGCCTAATGTGGGATATAGCAAGTTCTCCAGTAAACAGATGTAGGTTTACAAATTGACAATATTTTCATATATTTGTTGTTTTCTAACAATATAGTGATAAATCAGAGATCAGAGTACAGGTAGGTTTACTGGAGATAACTCGTAATCTAATAAATCAAAATTGTAAGTGAAGTCCCATCACACACAATTCTAGCTAGGTAAGATTTGCATCCCAACTGCTACACAGAGCCACGGAGAAGTGGCTCCTACACTAAAAGGGGTGATTTGTCTGAGCAGTGTTTCCAGAAAACTTATCTGGGGTAACTTGTCTCTGATATATGCTGCTAACATAGCCAGTGTGTGCAAGCCAAAAGAGTATTAAGGTGTAAATGTTATACCTTTTTGATAGGCCAAACAGTTGACCATTTTTACTGAAGTTGATTAGAAACAGTTGCATTCTAGTACATTTGCCACCGCCCCACCACACACACACACAGAGGAAAGGGTGGGTTCAGTACCATGAATAGAAGACTCAGCCCACAAAGACTTGTTCTGTAAACAAAAGCTCATTCTATTCATGAAATGAACTTTTGGGTGCAACCCATATTGTTTGATGTCAGTTTTTTCATTTCCAGGAAGCAGGTTTGCTCTCACCTTCCATTTGAAGACTGTCACTGGCCTATTGACGTTGTACCTTTTCAATAGGCCAAACAGCTGATTTGTGAACCAAGTTTATTTCTTTATTTATTTTGGTTCAGAATTTTAATCTCAGATTTTGGTAGGATAGATTAATAAAATGCCAGCCCATGGTAAATCTGGTATCTCAAGCAGAAATTATGGGTACTGTGGAATATTGCCCATGTGCTAGTACTTCATAAAGCAACCGAAAATGAAAGTCAGAGTTAGGTTTACTGTGTGTGATTGTGAGCATGCTTTCCCCACTATGTAATTGGTGAGTTTTATTTGAAGGCCATTGTCTCCACTGCTTTTTATATGAATGCAAATTAGTATAGCACACATTTTTCCCCTTCGTGGCTCACTGTTATTTCAGAACAATGGTTTGCCTTCTGCAGTGCTTGTACTTCAGAACATTAACTAGGGTAGATTGTATTCCAGCAGGAGGCTCAAGAACTGGGAAGCCTGGTTCCTATTGCACTACTGCAAAGGGATTTTATTTATTTATTTATTTAAAAAATTTCTATACTGTTTCTATTTAGTCAGTGTCTCTCAAGACAGTTTACAGTATATTAAAATTTAAAAACATAACTAACACCATCATACACATTTAAACAATTACAAGATAAAACCAATAGTAAGAAAAATGTAAAAGCAAAAGTATGATCTAATAGAAAAAAATATAAAATTAATGGATCAAAACAGATTAAACAAATACCCCAGCGTCATGTAAAATAAATGAGCTAAAATATAAACATTTAACAATTAAAGTACTATGAAAATAAAATAGGTTTGGCCTGGCACTGAAAGGTGTATAGCATCAGCATCTGGGAACTGGTTCCATAACCAGGGCACCATGGCTGAAAAGGCCCTTCTGTGGGTAGTCTCCCTCTTTCTGTTCTTCACAGCATAAGGTCCTCGCTAATGACCTTAGGGTCCAGGCAGGTGCATATGGGAGGAGACATTCCTTTAGATAACTGTGCTCTAAACTGTTTAAAGGCATTGTAAGTTATTGTAGGTACTTTAAAGCATACTCAAAATTCAACTGGCAGCCAGTGAAGGTTGTATAACACTGGAGTAATATGCTCATGCCTCGGTGTTCTTGTTAAGAGATGGACTGTTCTATTCTGAACCAGTTTCAAGGGCAGGCCCACATAGAGTGTGTTGCAATAGTCCAATTTTCAGGTGAGAAGCAGTCGGCAGGCCAGGGGGTGTCATGAGGCCGTAATTCACGTCTCCAATTAACTCACACAGCAGCCGGCAATAAAACTAAAAACTTTTTATTGCTATTCGCCACAAGATTTACGATGCAACAGATAAGCTCTGGCAATGAGCTCCTCGCAGCTCAGTTGCCCCCTCCTTTCTGAATCTTACAGGGAAGTTCAGTTGCTTTGCAATCTTCTGTCTCGCCTTTCTGCCCGTGGGTGGGGCAAACTTCTCCCCTGTCTCTGCAATTGGTCTGAATGCTGTAATCTCCTCCTAAGACGGGCGGATTCTAAATCTCCTGTTATGTCTTCCTGTTCTCCAGGACTCCGCCCAGCCACTTCCAAGTCAGGAGGCGGGGGATCAACTTGTTTAAACACCTCAGAGTCTAGAGGAAGGGAAGCTGCACCCTGCTCAAGCAACCCAGAGCCAGGATGTGGGGAGGCTACTCGTGAGGCAGAGTCAGGTTGCGGGGGGGGGGGGTTGTTTGGGCAGTGGGCACCAAGTATAAATCCTCCTGCTCCAATGCCTAGCTCTTGCGGTGAGCTTCTGGCCCTTTCTTGCGTGTCAACGTCTCTGTCGCTCCATAAGGCACGACAGGGGGGTACATGCTTAAACCTTTATCTCCCAATATGTTATCTTCACTACCCAGACGGAGTTCCAGATGCATGTCCACCATGTCAGGTGTGGAAAAGGGGTGAGCAATAGGTACCTTGGTTAGTTGATGACCGTTTGCTGCCTGAAGAAGCAAAGGGCAAAATGGCACCTTTCCCCAGTACTGGTGGAGAAACAGTATCTTCCACCACACTTGACGGCAGCAGGCTAGCTTAGGGGGTACACAGCCAGATTAATGGAATGCACACAGCTTTGTCCTCCAACACTTAAATGCTCTTGCATGCCCCTTAGCATCTACTGCCTCATTTTGCCTGCTGATAGACAAATCACCACATTTAACTTTGCAGCGACTGCCAAACACATAGTGTATCCCTCAGGTTTGCAAAGCTGAGGGTTACATTTAAAGAAATTCAAAAGATTTACAATAGCACACTTTGGTTGAGACTTTGGTTGGGTGTTTTCAATCATGATCAGCATCACCTATATGAGTGGTTATAAAATACAATCATATGCTCACTACTACTTCCTTTTTCTTACAATAAATATATATGTGCTGCTGTGGTGCTGCATATCTCAAGAGCAGGATATATAAAATATATTTGATAAAATATAGAAATCTTTGATAAAAGAAAAGAATGAAGTATTAACAAGTCAGCATAGAAGAAGGAGGGACAGATGGTTGATACCTGTTCCTCCTTCTGGTTATTCCCTGAACTGGAAGGTTCCGGGTAAGCCTATCAACCGCCCCTCGGGCCTGACAGTGCTGCTGCTCAATGCCAGGTCGGTCCATAATAAAACATCCCTCATCCACGACTTAATTGTGGATGAGGGGGCCGACCTGGCTTGCATTACAGAGACCTGGGTGGGAGAGGGGGGATATGTAGCCCTCTCTCAACTGTGCCCACCTGGGTATCTAGTTCAGCACCAGCCATGTCGGGAGGGGAGGGGGGTTACTTTAATTTACCAAGCTTCTATTTCCCTCGTGGGGCTTCCTGTTCTCTCGAGACCAGGTGTAGAGTGCTTATACGTGGCGCTGGGCGATCATGACAGATTGGGGATGCTGCTGGTGCACCTTTCTGCCTATCAGACTCCTGAATGAGCTGACGGAGATCGTCTCAGACCTGGTGTTGAAGACCCCCAGGATGTTGGTCCTTGGGGGACTTCAATCTCCATGCCGTGACTGTTCTGACCAGGGCAGTTCAGGACTTCATGGCCTCCATGAAGGCCATGGGGCTGTCTTAACATGTCATAGGCCCAACCCATGAATGTGGTCACATGCTGGACCTGGTTTTCTCGACGGGGCAGGAAGAGGGTGAGGAATTTGTGTCTGACTCCCTTGTCATGGTCAGATCACTTCCTCGTGAGGTTTGAGCTCGGAGCTGGCCTTTCCCTCTGTAAGGCTGCGGACCCAGTTGTGATGGTCTGCCCTCAGAGCTGGATGGGTTCCTGAAGGCTCGGGGATTTTCTGGTTGATAAAGCTGGCACTCCTGTTGATGCTCTGGTCGAACTGTGGAATGAACTGTGGAATGGGGAAATGGACAGAGCGATTGACACAATCGCCCCTAAGCATCCTCTCCTGACAAGCAGAGCCCATCTATCCCCACGTTATACATCTGAATTACGGGCAATGACGCGGGTTGGGAGATGTCTAGAGTGTAGGTGGAGGAAATCACGGGACGAATCAGACCGAACACTCCTACTTGCTCATTATCGAGCCTACACTGTGGCGGTGAGGGTGGCGAAGAAGAAATTCTTCTCCACTTCCATTGCCTCCTCACAGTGCCGTCCAACGGAGCTTTTTCGAGTGGTACATGGGCTGATATACCCCGGCCCTAAGAAAGATCCTGTACCACCATCATTGGCCCGCTGTGACAACTTTGCCCATCACTTTAAGGAGAAAATCGCTCAGATTCGTCACGAGCTGGACTCCACAGTTGATACAGTTCCCTTAGGGGAGGCGCAAAGAACTCTGTCTGGTCCAGCATTATTGGATGAATTTCAGTTAATGAGGTCTGATGATGTGGACAAGGTGCTTGGACAAGTACGTCCTACCACCTGCTTACTCGACCCTTGCCCTTCATGGCTGCTGACCATAGCCAACCACGGGAATGGTTCCTGGATCCTGGAGGTTATTAATACCTCTCTGAGGGATGTCCAGGTGCCCACTCCTTTAAAGGAGGCGGTAATCAGACCTGTCCTAAAGAAGGCATCTCCGAATCCAGAGATGGCCACCAATTATAGACCGGTGGGCAACATCCCATTTTTGGGCAAGGTGTTGGAACGGGTGGTGGCAGGACAACTCCAAGCACTCTTGGAAGAAACTGATTATCTGGACCCATTTCAGTCTGGCTTCAGACCTGGGTATGGCACTGAATCTGCCTTTGTTGGCCTGTATGATGACCTGTGCAGGGAGAGAGACAGGGGGAGTGTGTCCCTGTTGATTCTCCTGGACCTCTCAGTGGCTTTCGATACCATCGACCATGGTATCCTCCTGGATAGGCAGCCGGGACAGGGAGTAGGAGGCACTGCTTGGCAGTGGTTCCGCTCCTGCCTTGACAGCTGATTTCAGAAGGTAGTGCTGGGGGGTCTTTGGCTCTACACAATGGCAACTTTGCCATTGTGTACCGCAGGGTTCCAGTTTGTCCCCCTTGCGATTTAATATCTACATGAAACCGCTGGGAGAGGTCATCAGGAGGTTTGGGCTGCGGAGTCATCAGTATGCTGATGACACCCAGCTCTACCTCTCTTTTTCAAACCAGGTGAGGCAGTGGCTTTATTGAACCGGTGCCTGGCTGAGGTAATGGGCTGGATGAGGGCCAATAAACTGAAACTCAATCCACGTAAGACAGAGGTTGTGTTGGTGGGTGATTTGAGCTCCTGGGTAGGTGACTTGGGCCTTGCCCTGGACAGGGTTGCACTCCCTCTAAAGGACAGGGTCCGCAGCTTGGGAGTGCTCCTCGAGCCAGAGCTGTCCTTGGAAGCCCAAGAGACAGTGGTGGCAAGGAGTGCTTTCCTTCAGCTTCAGCTAATCTAACAGCTGCATCCCTACCTAGAGAAAGATTGCCTAGCAACAGTAACACACGCATTGGTTACTTCCCGGTTGGATTTCTGTAATGCACTTTACGTGGGGCTGCCCTTGAAGACAGTCCGGATACTTCAGATGGTGCAAAACAGAGCTGCCAGGATGCTGTCGGGGACTGGGCGTTATTCTCATATATCCTCAGTCTTCTATCAGCTCCACTGGTTTCCCATCGAAGTCCGGACTCAATTCAAGGTGCTGGTTATTACCTATAAAGCCCTAAACGGCTTGGGACCTGGATACCCAAAGGAACGCCTTCTTCCCTATTTGCCCTCCCGCCCCGAGATCAGCAGCAGAAGCCCTCCTCCGTGAACCCTCTGTGAAAGATGTTAGGAGACAGAGTACCCGAAGGAGGGCCTTCTCTGCGGTGGCGCCCCATCTATGGGATGCGCTCCCCAGAGAGGTCCACCTGGTGCTGTCAGTATATGTTTTTCGGCACCAGGTTAAGACCTTTTTATTTAATCAATATTTTAATAAGTTTTAATACTGAATTTTATCATCATATTTTAATTGCAGCCAGAGTGGGTCATTAATTTATGTTATGTTAGATATTTGTATTTTATTTGTGTAAGCCGTCCTGAGGCTCTTGCAAAGGACAGCAAACAAATATCCTAAAAAAAAAAAAAAGTAAGAAAGCTGAATCTGCTGGAGAAGTTTTGGCTATGACTGTCATTGTTAATTGACTTTTTTAAAAAAATAATACTTGTGTAATCTGCACTATTGGATTCACAGGAGAGATAGAAAAAATAATCTGTTAAAATCACTAGGCTTGGATCTAAATTTAGTTATACTTAAAATAGAACAATTGAAATCAATGGGAACAATTGAAATCAATGGGTAATCACTAACAAGTCCCACTGATTTTAATTGATCTAATCTTCACTGTAACTAAGGGTGTAGTCCTATTCCTGTTTAGATTTTTTCCCTGTCTAAAGATGCACAGGATTGCACTCTAAATATAGATCCAACCCTTAAGATGCCAGAAGATACTGGAAAGCTTGTCCCAGTAGTTGGTGAAACAAAAAGGACTTGAACTGTGCCAGCGTAGGGGTATTTTTCTACAGTGTTCTCATTCTGCTCTCACTCATTGTATTAAGGCTTCTTCAGAAGTTCCCAGTGGAGGATTACTTATTTCTGGAGTCCTTTGTGATTATCACTATTTTATTAATATACCCCTATTGGTAGCACAAACAGGTCTTCAACATGGCTTCTGGTAACTGGACAGGATGCCTAGTGAGCTGTAGGCAGTTGACATCAGATATTAATTTATTTTGTCAGGCATAATCTTGGATCCACTGAGCCAATAGCACAACTTCGATAGAATTTAAATTAGCTGCCTGCTAGATCTGGGGAAGCAAACAGTTTCAGTACAAAAGGGTAGCTTCGGGGGGGCTACCCCCAGTTCAGAGTGAGAGCAATATGAGGGCTTCATTGGTCCAACATGATAGCATCACAAAGCAATTCTGAAAGAAAGGGGGTTTACGGAAGCATTTCCAAAAGTATTCCCACCCAAACTTATTTGGGCTCATCTCTAATTTGAATGATTACTTTCTTTGATTGTCTCTTTCCAGTTCAAGCACTAAGAATGATCTTGGTATAGCTCCACAGTGGACCTGGTTCTCTCCTACAGTGCATGTATGTGAGTCCCACTTTGATTATGGGAGATCGAACAAATTCATCATGGGACAATAGCTGCCCTTGTTTAATATGGGGTCATGTGTAAACCACTGTCTTAAAATACTGACCTTGAAGGAGCCCTTTCAAGCTGTTTTTAAGAATCTGTCAATAGCAAGCACAATATTTCAGATCTGTTTGCACAATTTTCTCTTAATAAGGTTATAGTAATAATTAAAAGTGTTTCACTCTCCCTTGGAGCAAAGGAGATATTAGAGGTCTTTGATGGTCTAACTGCAAAATGTTCCTAAGGTAACTTTTTAACCTTTAAATTATTTTGTTATTTGTTATCATGGAGATTCTGGACAGATTTTGAGATGAATTATTTGCATACTTTCTACATTTGCATCAGAAAAGCATTCTTTGAAATAATTTAAGTGCTGAGTATATAAAAGAATAAAGTTTGGGATCCACTGAGTGCCAAAATCTGCTGCAGCTATTATTGGTATAAATATTAGGAATATGCATTGAAAGCAGATTTCGGTACCATTTCAGCCTTCATATTAGTGATGAGGGGAGAAAAAAATTAGGGAACAATGTTCTAACAAACTGGTTTATACTCTGTGCCATTTCAGTGGTCTCAGGGGCCGGGTCACACACTCAGCCACTCCAGGATCCTCTGCATGTAGTGAAGGAGTTGGTATACAAACATCTCCCAATTTGTGTGTGACCAGATATAAGCTTAACTTGTGTATCATATATCACTCACATATTAAGCACCTATGTTACACATTACTTAGGCTGCAGTTTTACACACATTTCCTGGAGGGCAAGCCCTGTTGAACACAATGGGTTTTACATCTGAATAAGCGTATATAACAGTACTTTGTTATTGTTTATTGTTATCCAGCCATAGATTGTTACCATTTCATTGTAAACAATTAAGGGATATGTACTGCTGAACATATACCATAAAATTAAAAAGATTAAGGGTGCAATCCTATGCATGTTTAAACAGAAAAATGTCGTACCTCTTCCAGTATAGTCATGGGACTTCTTTCTGTCCAAACATGAACAGGGTTACATCCCAATATATCCAAATTATAACTGAATTAAAATAAAACAATACATCAACAAATGTACAGCATTTTTCAAAACAAGTAATCAAAATACAGATAAATGCAAATAAATAGATTATGAATACAAATAAATTGAACTGTCAAATGAACTTATATCTGGGTGGAGGGAGAGTTGGGCACATTCATTCCAACACTACAAAGAGAGGATCCTCTTTAGGTGAATTGACCCTGAGTAACAGTCCAGTCTAAATCACTTACGCTCATTCAATTGCTTGATTCTCCTTAACATAATGGCCAAGTCAGGCAAGGCTCTAAGATTATGGAATGCACGCATGGTAGGGTGAGATCACTTGTACTTTGCTGCCACTGGATGAGCATGTGCTGCCTCCGTGCCCAATAGAGTGCTCTCTATTAGATGTAACGATCATATTGCAGAATCAATCTGTATCTGAACCCTAAAATAATATTTTGGACAGGAAATCTGCATTGAACCCAAAGTGGAACCAGATCCCTAACCACAAAAATGATGACTAGTTCCAAAAGATCAATAACAAAAGTCAATAAGGTTTCTTAAAAAGTTTATGATGGTTGGTGTAAGAGGACCTTTCTCCTAACCTTAGAGAGGAAGACTAAAGAAACTAGATGTCCCTAGAAGTTATGGAAGATGCAGGAGAGAGGGTTTTAGGATGGCCTGTTTTTCTACATTTACCATAACCCCCAATACAGAATTTTTTTTTTCAGAGGAGGACAAAAACAATCTCCATATGGGCAATTGGGATTTCTAAAGAATTATGTTTCAAATAATTAACTGTTATCAGTCTTTCGATTCCAGTGCCTATTTAAGATAAGGTTGAGTGTGAGTGATAAGAGATACTTGATCAATGGAAGGTCTACAAATATATCTAGATTCTTTATATGTAGTAAAATGGAAATAAGAATACAAAATCAGTTTATCGGAATGTGGCTGACATTTGTGGCTGACATTAGCTTAAGAAAAATTAAATTCAAACTGGACAATTAAGCATACTGAAGAACCAGAACTAAACCCTAGATTTTGATGCCTTAGTTCCCTGATATGCATCAAGCATCATAGAACAGAAGAGTTGGAAGGGGCCATGAAGGCCATCGAGTCCAACCCCCCTGCTGTTGCAGGACACTACGTTACACCTTCCCACTCAGATGGCTGTCCAGGTTCTTTTTGAATGTCTCCAGTGAGGGAGTATCCACCACCTCTCAGGCAGCTGGTTCCACTGTTGTATTGCTTTGACCGTGAGGAAGCTTTTCCGGATGTCCAGCTTGAATCTGGGTTGTCGCAACTTGAATAGATTATTCCGTGTCCTACATTCTGGCATTAGCACTTCACCTTCCTCTTTGTGACAACCTTTGAGATACTCATAGAGGGATATCATGCCCCCCTCTCAGTCTTCTCAAGGCTGAACATGCCCAGTTCCCTCTGTCTCTCCTCATAGGGCAGTGTTTCCAAACCCTAGATCATTTTTGTTGCCCTCCGCTGGACTCTTTCTAATTTACCTGCATCTTTCTTAAAAGATTCAGGGTGCACTGACCTAATCCATACAATTTTCCAGATTCTGAGTGACAACAGCTGCATCTTTTGGAGTAATTTGTACTGGATTTCATGCAAGTAGGTCCTGTGCAAATGCTGGATAGCATCCTATTCTCATATGTTTGCGGAAGCAACTACTCCTGCAACTAGACATTTGCATTTCTTCGTTGTGGCCTCTGTGCATCACACATATGGGTTGCTGTGCCTGCGCAGTGCCTAGGCCAGAAGATTAGAAAGCTAACAGTTTTGGCGGGAAAACTCCGCTCCCCTCCCCCTTTGTGGTATAAATAGAACGGAGTGTCCGCCATTTTGCTCAGTCTTTGTGACCGCCGTTCGCTGTGCCTCATGCCTGTTCATCTCTCGCTATAGATCTGTGCCTCTTTGTTGTTTTTTCTCAAAAAGTTTAAACTTCTCTTACTCCAAGTTTGTTCTTCTCCCTGATTCTGTCCGTTTTCTTCTTGAATTCTTTATATATAAAAAAACAAAAAAATTATCTTACCCTCTATACTGTCCTCTTCATTTTTCCACGATGGCACAGCGAGCGGCATTCCGCAAATGTATTGAATGTGGATCTAAAATGTCGCCAGTTGATCCACATGGTCTATGCCTCCTCTGCCTCAGCGAGGGGCATAGGACCGACAAGTGCGGTCATTGCTTGGCGTTTACCAAGCAGGCGTGGAAAAATAGGGAGAATCGTCTCAGAAAGCTCCTATGGGAAAAGGCATTAATGTAGTCCGACCAACTGCTGCTATGGCCTGCTTCCTCTTCGTCCGCACCTCCTCAGCACTCCTCCTCCACCATGAGCGCTCCGGCGAAGCGTCCTTCCTCGACCTCTGCCGACCCTCCTCAGCATCCTTCGGATGAGGGCGCCGCTTCTATGGGGGCTCAGTCGCTGCCTTCTCCCCCGACTAAGAAACAGGAGAAGCACAAGCATACCAGTCTGGATAAAACTTCCACCCATAAGAAGTTGAGGAAGGAAAAGGTGGATAAGCCCGCTCGCAAGAGCAAGAAAGCTGACCGCCCTAAACAACGAGGCTCAGGTTCATCGGGCTTCTCGGTACTGACAGCCGCCACGGTACCGACCCCCTCGGGACCGGCCCTGCAACTCGTTATGCAGGTGACACCACCGGGATCCCCCAGGCCAACCACTCGGCCTGAGAGCGTGCCTTCCCAGCAACAGGAGGAGCCACTTCGGGAGTCCATCTCTGATGGCGAAATCAGAGACTCCCTGCCGAGGGAATGCTCACCAACACCCATGCCACCAACTGAATCTTATGTGGCCTCACCATTACCTCCTAGAGGTCGCAGCCGTTCATCCGAGCATCGAGATGAAAGTTGGTTGATTCCGGGATATGGTGCTCCCCCCAGCTGGGGTGGGTACCAGCCATATCCCTATTTCCCTCGTGAGCAGAGATCACCATCGGTCCTGAGGGATGTGCCATCCACCTCCAGGCATACGGAGACGAGGCGCCCAGCCTCCCTGAAACCTCTTCCTCCTCAAACGATGACCGGCCGCACTACGTGGAAGACTCCAAGGACTCGGAGGTCGACTCCACATCCCCTGATGTGGCTGTCGCATATCAAGGGCCTACTTCACCCCATGAACCTCATGTCTCATTCACAGAGCTCATGTCCCGCTTGGTTCATTCGCTTGAAATTGAAGCCCATCAACAGCCAGGCCCTTCAACAGATCGCTTCTATGACGTTGTTCGGGGACAGCAGTCCGCATCCATAGCTCTGCCGCTTATAACTACACTGCGCCAGGCTATGGTCCAACCCTGGGACCAACCGGCCCAACCACAAGTGACCTCCCGCAGATATGAAGCTATGTATAGACTTTGGGACGATGACATTCCCTTCCTGCTCCGTCACTCAAAACCAAACTCTCTTGTGGTTGAATCCTCCCAGGGCAGGGAGTCCAGGGGACATACCGCTCCTCAGGACAAGGAAGGGAGGAAAATCGATATGCTTGCACGCCGAGTCTATGCGGCCTCTGGACTCGGCGTGCGCATATCGAACTACGAAGCGACACTGGCACATTACCAGTACTTTATCATGCAGAAACTGGATGATGTCACTTCCTCCCTTCCGGACCACCAAGCGGACCTTGCCAGGGTTTTTATTAAGGAGGCGATGCAGGTGGCAGTACAACAGCTGTCTACCGCTTGTCACCATGTAGACACCGATTCAAGGGCCCTCGTCAACGCCATCTCGCTACGCCGACATGCGTGGCTGCGCAATTGTAATTTCCCCGATGAGATGAAGCGCAGAATCGAGGAAATGCCTTTTGATGGTACTGGTTTGTTCCACCAGAAGACTGACTGAAAATTAAAGGCGATTCATGAATCACACCTAACCGCACGCCGCATGGAGCTCCCGCAAAAACGTAAGTGGCAGTGGCCCCAGTTGTCCTACCGGAATCAACCATATTATCCGCGCCAGCTAAACTACCCTCAAACCCGACAATACCAACAACGGCAGTGTCAGAGGCAGCAAGCACAACAGCGTTTTTCCCAAGGCCGTAGGCGATTCGATACTGATAAACGCCCACATTGACAGCTTACGCGAACCATCCTCTCTATTCCAGCACCACCTTCCCTTTTCCCTTTTGGGGACCGGCTCCAGGGCCGACTCCCCATTTGGGAGTCCATTACATCTGATAGGTGGGTGTTTGGGTATAGGATAGAATTTGATGTTATCCCTCCTTCGAGCCCGATTTGCTTCACACCTTCTTCATCGGTGCTACGTGATGAAGTCTCACAGCTTCTTCTCAAGGGAGCGATTCGAAAATTGTCCTGCTTGGAAGGATTGCATGGATTCTATTCCAGATATTTTACAGTCCCGAAAAGGGACGGTGGTCTCCATCCGATCCTGGACTTACGAACTCTTAACAAGTACATCAAACCAAGGAAGTTCTGGATGACCACTTTATAGAACATTCTTCCGTTATTGAAAAGAGAGGATTGGTTTGCCTCACTGGATTTGAAGGATGCTTATTTTCATATTTCCATACATCCTTCACACAGACGCTTTCTACGTTTTACTGTCGAATCCGACCTGTTCGAGTTTAACGTCCTACCCTTTGGCTTGGCCACAGCCCCTCAAGTCTTTACAAAATGTATGGCACCGGTATGCGCACACTTGCGGACTCGCGGAGTACAGGTTTACCCATACTTAGACGACTGGCTGATCGTCTCACAATCCGAACAAGCTCTCTTGTCTGATATACAAATGACCTGCGCTTTGCTCGATGCTCTCGGCCTCTGCATTAACCGTGACAAATCGACCCTTATTCCCACGCAGGTGATTGATTTCATCGGGGCACGACTCGACTCGACACAGGAAAAAGCTTTCCTCCCACCAGAACGTCAGAATGCTTTATGCAGCCATATTGATTGGATTCGATTACACAGAACGGTTCCAGCCTTGTCCGTTCAGAGACTACTAGGGCATATGGCTGCTGCTATTGCCATTGTCCCGTATGCCAGGTTATGTATGCGACCCATTCAACTGTTCAACACTGTTTTTCAACCACAACAAGATCCTGCCACCAAGCAGATTCGGATCCCGCGTGCAGTCCTTCACACTTTAACGTGGTGGACCATCACAGACAACCTGTCGATCGGCACCCCATTTCGACCACCTCGGCCAACAACGACTCTGTACACCAACTCATCCCTCCTCGGATGGGGTGCGGCATGTTTGGGACATCGGGTCCAAGGTACTTGGAACCAACGAGAGGCAAGGAAACACATCAACTTCCTGGAACTTCTGGCGATTTTCAACGCCCTCAAGGCTTTCGAGACTGTGTTATGCCGTCAAATTGTCCAAATTGCATCAGACAATACAGCGGCAGTTTTCTACATCAACAAGCAGGGGGGCACAAAATCTACAGCCTTAGCACGCCTGTCGATGGACATTTGGGACTGGTGCATACCGAGGAACATCACACTTATGGCGGTTCACCTGGCTGGAACCAACAACGTTGAAGCAGATACATTAAGCAGACAGATGTTGACAACCCACGAATGGGAGTTGGACAAACAACTTTGCGAGGGACTCTTCTGCCTGTGGGGTTATCTGGATGTGGACCTGTTCGCCACACAACAGAACAGCCTGTGTGCCCTTTACTGTTCCAGAGCGGGCGTCGGGCCGGGATCGATGGGAGATGCTCTCATGGTCCCTTGGAGCAACATGACTTTTTATGCGTTTCCTCCAATCCCACTTCTGACAAGAGTGATAACAAAAACAGCCCAGGACAGGGCCACGGGGATACTAGTGACTCCGTGGTGGCCGAGACAACCATGGTTTACCACTCTCTTGCTGCTGTCCAGAAGAACATTCCTTCATCTACCAACTCTCCCGCACTTGTTAACACAACAAGGAGGAGCAATCCACCATCCGGATATATTCTCTCTGAAGCTGACGGCATGGCGAATCACCTGATTCACGTCACCGAGTCGGAACCAGGGACACCTCATGCTACGGGTGACCTCACTCAACACACGGTATATGCAGCCCTGACTTCGAATTCGACAGCGAATATCACGATACCGATGCCTACCGACAGAGAAATGCAGGCGATTATCGAATCTGCATTAAGACCATCCACTCGTCGTTCCTATACGGCTAAATGGAGAAGATTCTCCTCTTTTGCGGAGTGCCATTCATTCTCCCCTGCAACGGCTTCAGTCACCAATATCTTACAATTTCTTTTACATTTGCATCATGAGGGACTTAAACCGTCATCCATCAAAGTTTATGCAGCTGCTATATCCCATTATTGTGGCACTATACACGGGTTATCAGTCTTCTCACAACCACTGGTTCGGCGCTTCATTAAGGGACTACAAAATTTACATCCGTCTATTCGCCCTGCCATGCCAACGTGGAGTCTTTCTGTAGTGCTCCAAGCGCTTACCAAGCCACCGTTCGAGCCTTTAGTGACTGCGGACTTACACCTGGTGTCATGGAAAACTGCCTTTCTAGTAGCGGTTACATCAGCATGAAGAGCTAGCGAGCTTTGTGCTCTCCGCATAGACCCACCATTTCTGAACTTCCATAAGGAAAAAGTTGTCCTTCGGATGGATTTCTCCTTTTTACCCAAGGTGGCCACATCGTTCCACCTGAATCAGGATATCGTTCTACCGGCTTTCTTTCCGTCGCTGTCGACCCTGATAGAACATGCTTTACACACGCTTGATGTTCGCTGCTGCTTGGCCTTTTACAGATCCCACACTGAATCTTTTCGTACTACTAATAGACTTTTTGTTAAATACTCCAAGCAAAAAAAAGGGATCACCGATATCATCTCAGAGACTCTCTAATTGGATCACCCAGACTATTGTCCTGGCTTATCAGCTATCGAAAATAGACTTACCTGTCTCTCCAACTGGCCGTTCTACACAAGCAGTAGCGACCTCATCTGCTTTTGCCGCAGGGGATCCGTTGCAAGACATCTGCAGAGCTGCGATCTGGGCTGGTCCATGTACTTTCGCTAAGCATTATTGGCTTGATATACATGCCAGACGGAATTGCTCTTTTGGTAGAGCTGTTCTCTCATCCGTTCTTCGATGAGGACACCTCCCTCCACCGAGTCTGGTAAGCTTACAAATCACCCATGTGTGTGATGCACAGAGGCCACGACGAAGAAAAGCATGTTGCTTACCTGTAACTGATGTTCTTTGAGTGGCCATCTGTGCATTCACACAACCCACCCGCCGGCCCCACTCGGTGTCGGTGAGTGGATATCGTGTTTTTTCTCAGTACCATACTATAGTTTGCATCGGTACCATTTGGATTATGTCGCTGGGTGGTTATTTTGTATTCGGTACCGAAATATTAATGGCATCGGTACCGGGAGGTTATATCGCTGACTAGTGATTGTTCTCGGTACTGTACTATAATTCACATCGGTACCGTGGGAATATAATGGTGTCTTATCATTACTTTATTTTTAACCTCTAGAGGGCGAATGTGCGGTCTTCAAGACTGAGCAAAATGGCGGACACTCCGCTCGATTTATACCACAAAGGGGGAGGGGAGCGGAGTTTTCCCGCCAAAAACCGTTAGCTTTCTAATCTTCCAGCCTAGGCACTGCGCAGGCGCAGCAACCCATATGTGTGAGTGCACAGATGGCCACTTGAAGAACATCAGTTACAGGTAAGCAACCTGCTTTTATAAAACAACCTAAAATGAGTGTAAATGCTAGTTTCTAGAATGAGGTAGATCAGTGCAGCTCACAGAAAGGAACTCTTTTGACCTGTCGCAATCTGGAAATGAATGTATTCAGTGTCATTTTATAAGCATGAAAGCCCCATCTTCACTTCTGCAAGTGCAATGAGACTGGCAAAAGTGGAGTTATCTCCATTAGGTACTGTCCAATATATAAATGGGCATCATGTGACCCAGAGGCAACACAAGTACACTTTATCTGATCAAGGCAAAAAGATTTCCACATACCACTGTGTCTTTCTACACACTTAGAGCCTCATCTGAACCAGCCTTAAGATGTTAACCCAGCATTAGCAATCCAAATTATTTTACATTTCCAGTCCTTCCCAGAGGACTGTTTAGCCATAATATTGTTTCAAGTGAGAGTTTTATATTGCAGTGACAAGCAACTTTTTTAATTTATGATAAAATTGTATTATAATGCCTTATTTATTTTCAATCCTGTACAGTATTAAAACATTTGCCTTTCAATTATTATTATTATTATTATTATTATTATTATTATTTACTTTAAAAGATGTATTGTATGAAATGTTGTAAATACTTTTAGCTATGTCAGGTTTATTGCATGTACACTTGTATAAAAAATCTACAAAAGGCACACTTTTAACAGATGCTAATGATTTTTTTTGTAAACTGAGGTTTTACATGTGCATGAAGATGATAAACCCTTTGGAAATGGATGTCCTTTTGCTTCTCGTCTGCAATCTACTGCATGCCACACATGCCTGACTTCAGTAAAAACAAAAACAAAAAACAAAGCAACAAAAAAAGAGTAAGTTTCTTTCTATATGTTTTTGACATATCACATTTGACACAGAGTTTTAAAGGCACTACCAGTTGCATGTGCATACTACAAAAGCAAAATTTCAAAGCAACACCACAATAAAAAATTAACCTGTAATGTTCTGCCAACCTCAATGTTGCTATGTCCACATTATGTGGTATATGAAATGTGCCCTTGACATCTATGCTACCTTAATAACAGTACCTTTGGTCATTAGAAGCAATAAATTAAACTCCACATACTGTAATATATATAAATACATATATATTTTAAAATATGAGTGGAAATAGTAGTGGTGTAAAACCAAGTCTACCAATTCACTAGGTACTGTTTAATACCCTGTTTGACGTAACAGTATAAGTAAATGTTTTGGAAAGGGGATGGCTCTGTAAATCCCAAAATGCCAGAGCACAAGATTTCCCCTGTAGACATGATCATATGAAGCTGCTTTAGACTGGCGGCAGTTCTCCAAGGTCTCAAGCACAGGTCTTTCCCAATCCTGCTGCCTGAGTCTTTGCAGGCATTAATGAGAAGCTGCCCTATCCTAAGTCAGACCGTTGGTTGGTTCATTTGGCTCAGTACTGTCTCATTTGCTTGGCAGTAGTCTCAGGTCTTTCTTGGCCCTGCTGCCTGAGATTATCTGAAAATGCCAGGGGAAAACCTGGAAATTTATGCATGCAAAGCATGTGCTCTACCACTGAGCTATCATCCTTTCCCACCACCCATGAAAAGATGAAATAGTTTACTTAAAAAAGCATTTACATATACTGAAGGAAAGACCTCAAGGTAGGAAGACCAAGATGTCATAGTATCAAACTGTAACAAGGCAGAACTGCATTGAATAAAAGGGAGGATTTGGTCCAGTAAAGTTACCCAGATGGTATTTTTTATGTGATATCTATTGTTATTGTATCTGAGATAAACAGTATAGAGAAATGGCTTTCATACATTATATATTTCTGAACATGATTTTTGTTCAATAGCCTTATTATTTCAATTCATATGGTTCCAAACATGGTGGTACTGAAAATAAAATGCTAAGCTGAACTGTGGGGTTTAGAAAATAAATACAAATTTTTCCTTTTGTCTTTTCTTCGGCTTTCTGAAATTTTCTAAATAAATGTCAAAGCTGCAATTTCAATCATGCTTCCAAGAATGTAAGATCCAGTGACCTCAGTAGGACTTACTTCCAAGTAGGCATGTCCTAGGCCTAGGATGTAACACCACCCCTACTGATTCCTCTTCTCCATCAGCTTTTGTGGTCCCTTCTGAATCCATATACATCAGAGGTGAGCAGTTTGTGGTTCTCCACCCTACAACTCCCATAATCTTTCACCATAGGTTATGCTGTCTAGGGCTGATAGGTGTTGCAGACCAAAACATCTGGAGGTCCACAACTTGCTCACTCATGATGTACACTGACATAATGGAGACAGAATGTGATTTCCTGACTGAGTTTGGTGTCCAACATTTTAAATTGCCAGAAAGATTTTGAGCACTTAAAAGTATTATATAAATGCCAATACTATTTTTGTTATGTCCCCAAATGTCAAGTTGTATTACACAACTTTATTCATATTTGTTCCATTTTATCATTTATTATAAAAATAAACTGTATGATTTATTAAAACTGCAATATTCTAATGTTTCAATTACTCTAATATGGAAACAAAATGAATTAGAATATCTGTAATGTAATGTGACCAGAACGGAATTCAGATGGATGGCTTCTGCTTTGTGAGGCCAGATAGTGTAAAGTTAGAAAACTGTACTCTTTGTTATAATTGAAGCTTAAATTTTAAGCCCACTCTGTTACCTGACAGCATGGTTAATTAATTTCTTCTTCCTCTTATAAATGAAGACATACATAAACAAACACATGCCCTGGACCATCAGAAATTACCAAATTTGTACAGTAGTTGCTTCAGTGCCCCAATTAAAAGCTTTCCCAAGCTCAAATGGCCATGTTCTAGCAATATCACTTGTTTGGTTCTGACAACAGTTAATGTTTCTGTCTTTTTCATGCATGTTTTCTGATAGTCTTTCCATTGTCATTCCTGTTAGCCTTCTCTGGAGCAACAGTCTTCTGTAATGTTCCTTCACAAATAGTTTTTTTGTTTTGTTTTTAATTCAAAGAAAATGGTGATACAACAGGGAAAGAAAGATTACCTAAAGGTGCAGTCTGTACAGATTCACCTTGGAGTAAACTCATTTAACACAGTGGGCTTTGCTTCCGAGTAGGCACACATTTGATCGCATTGCAAAATTTTTATTTTGAAATCCACCATGGTACATGTACTTTTCAAGTGTGTTTTGCAGCCTAATGTTTTCACAGCGTGAAGTTTCCACCTTATGAAGGAATCTGGGGCATGAGCTTATTGGTCATGCGATGCCAGATGACCAACCATTGCAGGTTAATCAGCTGCTACATAAAAGCCATTTGTGGCAGAATCGAATGTATCCTACCTACATGTTTTAGTGCCTTGCAAAATATCTCAAATACAAGGGATCCTGGACTGGGGGTGGAGAATCAAAATGTGTACAGCAAAGTGAAGTACAAAAATTGGCCTGGTACAGACAGTATAGAAAGAAGGTGCTAAAAAGGAAGTGTAAGAAAAAGCATATAAAAGAGAATAAATTTATATGATGATAAAAAGCATATAAAAGAGAATAAATGTATAAGATGATGATAAAAAGCTGTAATAGGCATGTGAAATTTACTTTTCCCCCAAAAAATGAAAATTAGGCAAAAAGTTGAGTATATGAATAGTTAAGAGAATTAAAGATTTATCTCAGAAGTCCTGAGCGAATATAGTGTATATTACCTACAGACCAAGAAACTGAGGTCTAGGGGAAGACATAAAAGCTGCCACAAAATCTCCATTATTTGTTTATTTATTGAGGGATTTATGTCTCACCCTCCTGTCAAATTCCCAGGATGGTTTTCAGATGCGCAAAATTCAATGAAACAAATTCAAAACCTAGAAAAAAACGTGAAAACAAGCCAATAGGAGATGCATAAAAACATTACTGAGCCAATATTCACTGAATTAAGTGGTCTGAGAAAATTAAAGGCTTTTTCTGAGAATTACCCCCCTCAATTTTAGCAAAATGTAAGCTTCTCTGGGGTTGAGTATTACACAGATGGATGCCACTACTGAGAAGGTTCTATGAAGGGAACTTGGAGAAGGCCTCCTATGAATATACAGTGGTACCTTGGCTCACGAACACCTCAGTTCACGACCAAATCGGGTCACAAACAAAACATTCAGAAAAAAAATTGTCTCAGTTCATGAACTCCACATTGGGTGATGACCACGATCGCGGCCATGTGGTCACATGAACACAATGACGATCATGGCCGTCTTCCCTGCATAAGTGCAACCGTGATCACAGCCATCTCCCCCACCCCCGAGCATGATCGCTATTGCACAATTATAGTTTGGGCTCTCCCTTCAAACAATAACCTCTCCCCCACCTAGGTCACTGTTCTCTACTGTACTGTACTTTGTCATGGAATGGATTAAGTTCATGAGCCGAAGTACCACTGTACTGATGTATAGACAGAGACATGTGGAAGCAGACGTTGGGAACAGAACAGTCCATAGAATATTTTAATCACGTTTACTCAACCTGAAGCTTTAACTCTAAAGTCAGAACGGACATTAGCAGCTACTTTTTTCATTTCTACTCAGGAGCAGACACAGGTTCCAGTCTGGATTAGAACCTTAACATGGCTTTAACCTTTACACACACATTGTATGCCTTGAATTTTGATTGCAAAATAGTGATCCATAATGGTTTAAAACAGTCTTGAAAGGAATGTCTGTTTGGACCCTCCACATGGCTGACACTTTCTGTGTGTCTGTCCAGGGTGAGCACTCTGAGAATAGTGGTAGGAACCCCTGTCTGGTGAGAAGTAGAATGCCAGCTGGTGCACTTGACAGAGGAGGGAGAGAAACGGGGGCAGAGTGGAGGGCATCAGTGTGAGTTCTAAGAGAAGCACTAGAGAGGTCACTGTCGGCATAGGGATGATGAAGACATATGCAACAGATTCAAATGAGTTCAGATTTCTATGACTCCAACCTGCAGATACCACAGTGGACCAGCTTTTCTGAGTCATGTGGATTCCACAGGCTTGCAGAACAGTTACCGTATTTTTCTGTCTATAAGACGCCCCCATGTATAGGACACCCTCCACTTTTCCTACTGATCTCCGAGCGAGCAAGCTAGCTGCTGCTACATGCACTCCACCTCATTGCCCCCCCTGCACACATGCGCGATCATGCCATTCTCCCCTCCCAGAGCACCCCTGTGTATAAGATGCCCCTCCATTTTTAGTAAGTGTTTTTAAGAAAAAGTATCATCTTATACAGGGGAAAAATGGTATTTACTTTTGCAGGCAAATAATGCAAATTTGCTGCAACACTAATGTTCATTAGTACAAGCAGAACACAATTTTTGTACATCTCTAAAAAAGTGTGAATGAAAATTGAAACTCCCCCTTCTATCCCAGCCTACATCCAGCATCATGGAAAAGGTTCTCCTTTCTCTTTAATCTTTGACTTCTCAGAAATAGTCAACCAAAAGACTTGGTTTAGATATGAGGGAGAAGAAAGGCAGGTTGCTTGCCTGTAACTGTCATTCTTCGAGTGGCCATCTGTGCGTTCACACATTATGGGTGCTGCACCTGCGCAGTGCCTGCAGCTGGGAAAGATTCAGAGATTTAACAGTTTTGGCGAGAACTCCACATCCTTCCCCCCGCAATAGTATAAAGGGCAGAGTGCCTGCCATTTCCCCAGTTTACTGAAGACTGCCCATTTGCCCCCGTGTGGAATCGGTAAAAAACCTAATTCACAGTAAATGAGAGATCAGATAGAGATGCTCAAGTAAGAAGCATATGAGATACACCTATACTATATAGGTAGAAGAACAATGTGGAAGGATAGACCAAAATGATACCTATCAACCCAGTCACCGACACCAAGTGGGGCCAGTGGGTGGGTTGTGTGAATGCACAGATGGCCACTTGAAGAACAACAGTTACAGGTAAGCAACCTGCCTTTCTTCATTGTGGCCTCTGTGCATCATACATTATGGGTGATTAGTAAGCTTACCATACCTGGAAGCGGGACGGTGTCGTCACTAAAGAACTGAGGAGAGGACTGCACGGCGAAAGAGCAGTTTTGTCTGGCATGAACATCTAGTCAGTAGTGTTTGGTCAACGGGCAAGGGGTAGTCCAGGTAGCCGCCTTGCAGATGTCATGCATAGGGATGCCAGCAGAAAGGGCAGAAGAAGCAACAACAGCCCCTGTGGAATGCCCTTTAGGCAGCACAGGAAAGTCCAACTTGGATAGACAATAGGAGAATTTGATAGTTTGAACGATCCACTTAGAGAGTCTCTGAGAAGTAATCGGAGATCCTTTGTCGTGTTCAGAATATTTGATGAAAAGGCATTTAGTCTTCCTGAAAGACTCAGTCTCGGATTGATAGAATGCCAAACAGTGTTGGACATCAAGTGAATGTAGAGAACGTTCTATCGACGTGGAGAGCATAGGAAAGAATGCTGGCAAGACGATATCTTGATTGATGTGGAAAGGCAAAGCAACCTTAGGAAGGAAGTCCGGGTCAGTACAGAGAACAACTTTCTCCTTGTGGAAGTTGAGATAAGGTGGGTCAATTTGTAAAGAGTTCGCTAGCCTTCCTGGCTGAAGTAATGGCTATAAGGAAAGCTGTCTTCCAGGATAAAAGACATAAGTCTGTAGTGGCTAGCAGTTCGAATGGAGGCTTGGTGAGAGCCTGAAGAACCACTGAAAGACTCCATGTTGATACCACCGAGTGGACTGGTGGTTGGAGGTTCTGTAGTCCTTTTAAGAAGCAATGAACAAGAAAATGTGAAAACACTGAGGAGCTCGATAAGGAGCAGCGATGATGTGAAACAGCGATATAAACTTGAATAGAAGAAGGTTTAAGTCCATTTTGGTGTACAGACAGGAGAAATTGTAAAATGTTCTCAATTGAGGCTGAGTGAGGAATAAATTGGTAGGTTAACATGAATGAAGTAAAGCATTTCCATTTACCTTCATAGGAGCATCGAGTAGCTGGTCTTAGAGCAGATTAAAGAATAAACTGTATGGCAGGATGGAAAATGCCCGGATTCGATGAAGAACTAGGAACCAATGTTGAAACCGATGGTACGGCTGTGGTGGAGGGCTGCTGAAGAGGTGTCGAATCCAACAGATTTGTCAGTGTTGATGAGACAGCATTAGTTATCAAATGAGCCAGGCCATAAGGTTCAGAGAATGTAGATCTGGATGTTGAATGGCGCCACTTTGTTGAGTGAGAAGATGTGGAATCTACAGAAGACGAAGGAAAGTCTTGGAGAGAATGGTGGGAAACCACGGTTGGCGGGGCCACCAAGGTGTTATGAGAATCCCTGGAGGATGAATCAGCCAGAGAAGGAGGAGGTCTAGATAGCACAGCTGCTGATGTCGAGGGAACATCTTTCAGGACCAGATGTGGTATGGAGTGATGCGGGAGTATGGAAGGCCTGGGGTAGTATCCGTGTGGTGGGTAGTAGTCCCATGGGATGGATCGAAATCGCCATAGGACATAGGCACCCAGCTCCTCGAAGGCTGTCTTGGAGTGTGCTGTTGCTGGTGGATCTGTGACCGAGGCTGGGCCCTTGGACAAGCCTCAGGAGAAGCCAGCATCAGAGTTGGAGAGCACGCTGATGGTAGTCCAGTCAGAGATCGAGGTGGCGAGTCCTGAATCTCACCATCAGACATGGAACTGTGAACAACAGCCTCCGAGCGGTCCAGAGTAGGTGGAGCTGGGAGGCAGATCCTCTGAGGGGACCCTGGTGGGGTCACCTGCACGACGGACTGTACATGTGAACTGGTCGGTGTCGTAATCAAGATGGCGGTTGGTACCGATGGCATGGTCATACCTGAGTCTCTCTGTGGTGGCTTAGCAAACTTTTTCTGCTTACGATCCTACTTACCAGCCTTGTTCTTTTTAGCTTTTTTGGGAGCCGAAGGCTCATTGGATCCAGTATGCTTCCTCTTCTCCTTCTGCTTATGGTGAGGAGAATGAGAGGAGTGTTTAGCCTCCATAGGAGTCCTACCATCAGCCAATGGACGAAGAGGAGGAGCGGTCATAGATGGGCCCACCAGCATGGTCTCAGCCGCAAGCTGTCAGATGCGACCAAGGCCTGGTCCCACAGAATCTTCCATAGGCGGTTCTCACGATTCTTACAGGCCTGCCTCATGAAAGACTGGCAATGGCCAAACTTATCAGTCCTGTGTCCTTCCTTCCCCCAAGCAAAGAAGGCACAGGTCGTGTGGATCAGTGGGGGACATTTTAGCTCCACACTTGGAGCACTTGCGGAAAGCTGCTTGCTGAACCATCAAAGAAAAAGAAGAGGATAGTGAGGGAGAGAGAAAAACGCACAAGATTAACGATAGACGGGTTTTTTTAAAACAAATTTTAATGGGGAAAGGGGAAGGGAAAAGGGGAAGAAAAACTTTCTAGAAATGGGGGGATTAGGTGGTTATAACTTGGAAAGGAGATAGTAACAAGAAAGATAAACAGCAAATGAAAGTCTATAGAAAAGGCAAGTATAGCTACGAGAGACAATGAAAGGCTCGAGGCACAGCGAATGGCAGTCACAAGAAGACTGGGAGTTCCTGCCAAAATCGTTAAAGCTTGACTCTTTCCTGGCTTTAGGCACAGCGCAGGCACAGCACCCATAATGTGTGAATGCACAGATGGCCACGATGAAGAAGATGGGTCTTTCCAATCACAGCCAATCTGTTAAGGCTAGCAGTTTGAGGCTTTTTAACTGTCTTCATCACACACTATGACCCTACTTTCAGTGAGAAATCAAACATACCTTCCAATTCTATTTAAATGTAGCTTTCAGAGAGAGAGAAAAAGTTTTAAAGGTAAATTACGAATGCTTTATTATGGCACATTGTTAGTGGTCCACAAGCTCCATTCCACAACATGTCCAACAACATGAAGCTGTTTGAACTATCAAACAAGGCCTTGGCCTACAGCTTGTGATTTTAATAATATAGTGCTGGTTTTGACAATGGTCCCAGCACTGAAGGGAAAAAAAGATGTTCAGCTAGCTATGAGTTCCATACATGATAAAATAGTATCAATATGGATCTAAAACAGCATTATTTCTTCAAAAAAAAAAAGCATTGTTATATAGACCAGCAAATGCTAAATAATTTTCAAGAGGGGAAAAACAGTTTGAGAACCACTTTGTTCCATCTTCAAAGGAATCTTTGTGGCTGCTGTTTCCATGTGGCCATGTCACTTCAATAACATTTGGAATATGGAGAGGCAGTTAGCCCCTTTCTGCACAACCAGCATCAGACATAGATTTCATAGAATGGTAGAGTTGGAATGGGCCATGAAGGCCATCAGGTCCAACCCCCTGCTGTTGCAGGACACCAATTTACTTCACCCCACATGGTGGTGGAATTTAAAGGAAATAATTGCACCAATCTTTCCTCGGGGTGGCTTCCCTATTTCAAATGTTTTTTTTTTAATTTCTAAAATGTATATCTCAGTCTAATGGCTAATCAGCATTCCCACTGCAGCTGGAAATGTTGCAGAAGCAGTGAAAAATGTGACCACCTTGAAAACAGCAACCATATAGCTAGGAGCCAGCTTATACATTTGGCAAAACTAAACCAAGCAGCAAAGCTTCCCTGGAATGTATTCTGTTTGAATGCTGTATCCTTCGCAACCAGGGAAGGGGGGATGTGTGTGGAATGGGACATGGAAAACAGCATAACAAAGAGAAGCCTAGCCTGACTGCTACTCCTTGAAGTGATCGTTTTCTTTGTGCAGAGACATTTTTAGATGGGAAGTTGCCCCTTTCTCTCCTGCTACCTGTTGTAGTGCAGCCCAAGAACAACAGAAACTGGGCTTGTGGTCAGGTAGGAAGAACACCTTCCTGTAATGATGTTCCCATTCTGCTTAGTTTTTATTAAAATTCAGCAAGACATTAAAGTTCAGCAACTGGTTCAATGCCCCCTGTACATCTACAGCACTGATCCTAATCAGTCTGGATCAGACCATATACTCTAACTGCCTCTGAATTTTAATGTATGAGAATTGCTATTGAATTAATTATTGTAAGATGTTCTGTAGGGGACAGGATAGAAAAGCTTTTAATTAATTAATTTCAATGATCTGTGAATCTGGTCCATTATGTTACAAATGTCCTAATAGAAAGAACATTTTCTGCTTTAGAATTAAACTAGATGAAACCCAGTTGCATATTATCTTTTCCTCATCCTTTTTTTAAAATAAAATGCATCTTAGAGAGGCTGTGAGTTTAAGTGGATGAATAGACCAAAATAAGGGCTGTCTAACCCCTTCCTCATGGCAGTCTTTCCACTCAAAATTGCACTCTCAAAGCTGGATTTGAAGATCGTGAGGGAAAGATGCATGCAACTCTTTGGGTTTTGAGAAAGGGACTACCACAGGCAATGCATAATATATTATCTTCAGTCTTACAATAACATAACACACTGGGTAACTTGGAATGAAAATTTTGCATAAATAATACGGGTCTATTTTTATGTACATAGAATATTGTAGAATATCTTCCAGTCTTTTTCTTTCTTTCTTTTTCTCTTTTTTTTTTTTTTTTTGAGATTGTTGAATTGAAAAGAGCAATTGAATATTTGTCCTATTTTTATGTTTGGGGGGAAAAGTGAATGGACTGAAATGTTAAACTTGTGAATGTAAATTTCTTACTGCAACTTTTATACTGAGTGTTTGCACTATTATCATTTCTGGAGTCTAATTAATAAAGGAAACAATCTGCTTGAGTAAACTAGGCTGAAGCTCCTTTCATTAAAGTTGTCAAGTGCTGAACCTGTTTGGCCTGAGTCAAATGACACTCAGCTATTACACTAGCTATTCTTGTCCGTTCTGAGGTGTTCTGTGCTCATACAACCCAACTACTTTCCATCCTTGATAGTTGCTGTGTAGACTGCAGTGGAGGGTGAAAAATTATAAGTAGAACTACTTCACTGAATTCTCACTATCCTTCAGATCTCTGATTTGTGAGATAAACCACATTGATCTTGTTCACACAGTCACAGCATAGGTACTAAGCCATGGTGACTTCTTAACCACCCTGTACACTCCAGTCATGCGCCAGGGGAGTAGTGTAAGCTTCTGTGTAGCCTGAAGTGCCTGATCATGCCTAATCTTGGAAGCTAAACAAGGTCAGGCCTGGTTGAAATCTGGATGGGTGACTTAATGTTGTGAACTGCTCTGACAGCTTCAGTTATGGGTGCTATAGAAATGTAAATAACAACAAAACCTTTAGCAGTGAATCTTCCGTGTTGTCTACACTCAGCCAGGGTGACTTGTTGGCCCAAGTAACAGGCCGCTGTGGCTGGCTCTGCACAACATGACAAGACACACTGTAGAGGGTAACTAAGCTAATCTCCCAGCACATGACCAGCATGCAGGACAACAGAAATAAGCCATCAAGGCTTATTTGTTCAGCTGCAATTGTGCTCACTGGCCCATTGTAAAGACCCATACACGCGCGTGTCAAAAAATAACTCTGTTTCACATGTACATGTCAATTGGCACAAAGCATCCATATCACCTCATGTCATCACACCACAATGGGTTTCAGTAGAGTCCTCAGTTCAAATAACTTCTACCTTCCAATACAAAGAGCATCATTTTCTCTCTGGGTATCTTCAGACTGGTATTCACAGTCTCATTCCCAGTGAGAAAACATGTTCAGCCTGTGACCAGAAAGCATTCTGCTCTTTCCTGCCTCAGAGGTAAGTGAAGGGGCCCTTGGCACAGGATGGGAGTTGCACTCAAGGTCTGAAGCAAAGGGGGTACAGCGTTCACTTGCATGTGTCAAATCTGTTTGCTAAGATTTAACTGTTTTTGCCATGTGCCTGGATTTGAATCCCAACAAAATTCCTGGATGAAATGCATAGTTTCATTTATTTTAGAACTGTATTCATTGCCCTTCAAAATGTAGCATGTTCTCAAGGCAATGTACAACATATAGAGTAAAATTGATGTAATGAGTGATATTAAAAATATCAAAATGATGACCAGAAAAAATGGACCATTTCATATTTCATTCTTTTCAGCCAGCCAAGATCTAAATTAGGACCACTAATCTACTTCTCAATCAAAAGTAGACTGAAATAAAATTATTTTCATGCCCCTCCCAAAAGACAACAAGGGGGTGGTGTTGATCACATTGCCTGAGGAAAGGTGGTTCATAAATTGGTTCTATTTGGATGCCAGGAAGCACTTCCTGACAGTTAGGACCCCGAGGGTGTGGAATGGGCTTCCACAGGAGGTGGTTGAGGCCCCATCGGTGTGGGTGTTCAAGGATAGGCTGGACATGCACATGGTGGGCATGTCGTGAGCAGAGCCAGCTGGAGCCAGGGGTCAGACTAGATGACTCACTGTTTCTATGTTTCTATAAATGTAGGGTGACCACAGAAAAGGCTCTTTCTGAACATTTAGTCCAATTAGCATCTGGATCACTGCATTCTGCTTGTAGTGCATGCGTAACTGTATCAAACTCTGTCATGTATGCTGGGAGCCTAATCTTACAAAGTCATTCCAAATAACTGCTGCCACCAATGCTTCAACAAGTAACATTGAGCCTTAAGGGCACTTGGGCTGTGAACTTACCCTTCCAGGAAAAATACAAGCTCACTTAGAACTAATTGAACACCTTTGCCAGGGACAAACAACATTCTGACTCCCAGCACCTCTGTTGTATCTAGATTAAGATTGAATGTGTCTGTCTCCAGACACCTAGATTAAACAGGTGATCCCTGATTTTAAAAAATCCAAAATGAAAGCAAAATCTGCTTGGTGGTTCTCAATTAAATGTTGAGGAAAAGCTGATTGTAGTTTAAGCCTATTAATGGATTTTATCTTTGGATGTTTTCATATAAGGCTTTTATTGTGCAATTGCAGTGCCTCATTCATGAAATATTATGGTGGTTCTAGGAGATGTGTTCAACTATTCACCCTCCCAAACTTCCCTTCCTTCTGTCTTTTTTCCTACCAGAAAAAGTTACTGTAGACAAAAAGACCCAATAACTTTACAGTGCTTTGTATTATCAGTGCTAGGAAATCTCTGTCAGGAAGCACCCTAAAATTCATATATGTGATAGATTCTCCTTCACCTCCCTTTCACATTTTGACAATCTGTCTTGAGGTGGAATGCATTCTGCACACCAGTATTGCTCTGCTACTCTGAAACTGTTTGTTTTTGCTGCCTCACTGCACTCATGAACTGTATCACTGGTACAATATCATTTCCTTTTGTCCTGCTCACATACTTCTAGCAGGGGCCTGGTTTTGAGAAGGCTCATATCCCCAGGTGATCTTCCAGAATAGGGAGGCCTCACCAACTAAGGAATTATAATGCTGCAGAAAGTTAATCTGTGGAACACATTAATATGATTATGAAAGTGTGTTAACTGACTACATAATAGAGAACATTCTGTACACTTGGATATCTGTCTGGAGGACAAATCCAAAGCATGGAACTCCAGTTCCATCCAGATAATGGCAGCCAAAGTCAGTAGGTCAAAGTTCCTCATCACTGCTCTTGGTGGGAACACAATGTTCCATGTAGAAGGAAATGGCAATATTAACACATGTTTCCTGTTCTGGTATGTGGCAGCTCTTGGTATTACTGAAAAAAGAGCCACAGGCCACTTCGGACACAGACACAAATTATGGAAGCTTAACTATGATTGAACGTAATGTCTGAATTGATGATTGATATATTGAAAGAATTAATACCCTGCTCTAGCTGGAAAGGGTCCCCAAACTGCTCCCAGATCTATAAAAACAATACAAAGCTTTCCCTCAGATTTGCAATCAAAATATATAGGAAGATTGAGAGAGTGAAAAAAAAGGAAAACAAAACTCAGCTACCAAATCCCTCATGCTATACAGCTTCTTCTTTTTTTTTTTTTTTAATGATCATTGGCAATGTAAATGTAATGGCTATAATGCAACCAGACATTTTTTGGTCTTCATTCCATGACCAGCTGGAATGAAAACAGATTAAATGAGAGAAGGAACAAAAGATGGTTAGTCTCCAAGCAGATGGAGTAGCCTTGCATGCTGACTCTCTCTCTGCTACAGTCTGATTGAATGGCTGTGGAATGACAGTCGGAGGAAAAGCAACCTGGCTTCTCAGAATGACTGCGAAAGAAGCACTATTATCCTTTTCCCTTTGCTGCAGCCTGATAGAAGAGCAGTGGGATGATACTTGGAGAGGCAGCATTTGATGAGGCCGGTCTCTTAGTAGAGTACTATTTGCCTTTCAAGCATGGCTGGTAATCAGCTGCAAATTAGAATCAGAAAGTGTGTCTGCAAACAGTTGTTTGCTGTGATGTCTTAATCCAAGTTGTAATTAGGATTCTGCCTCTCTCTGCCCCCAAAAAATCATGTGCATATCCCAGAATTCAAGCTGCAGCCCATCACTGCACACAAAGTATCCATTTTTACATGCTGCTTATGGTCCAACAGGCACCTCTTGAGTCTTGTCTGCATGTGCTGCAAAACAAAACAAAACAAAACAAAACAAAACAAAACAAGGGAGGCGGGCCAATGTACTTTGCAGCAACCTATTGTTCTGAATGCATCCCAGCTGTTCATTATTTATTTAAAACATTTGTGCTACAGCACCTCTGGGCAGCTCACAACCACAAGATACAAGCTATAAGAGCAGTTGGCAAAGGAGCTTAGGAAAAACAGAGGACTAAATACTGGTGATACTTCTCCCCTGCAGCCTTACAAACAGCTCTGCTGAGAGCCTCAGCTATTGGGTGGCATATAAATGGATGGATGGATGGATGGATGTTGGCATCAGGCAGGTCTTGCTGTGTAGTTCATTCCGTAACTGGGGGTCCACCACCAAGATCTGAGAGGGTGGCCTCTGATGATGAGCATAGTGTTCATGCTGGAAGAGGCACTCTAGCAGGTATTACAATCTTGCCACCTGCAAGTCTTTGTAAATCAAACATAGCACCATGAATCAGGCTCAGAAACATACGGACAGCCAGTGCAAGTGGGCCAGAATCATTCTAATGTTGAATCGACATTGTGCAAGTTAGAGCTTCTGAACCATATCTAAACCCAGCCTCATTTGCATTTTAATAATCAAACTCAGAGATTATCAGAGCATAAATAGAGCCAGCTTAACAGGGGGCAACATAACTGGACAACCGACTGACTTTAGTAGAAGGCACTCCATGTGTCATGAACCAGGTGTTCCCTCCCCAGCAAGACAGGCACTCCAGCACTTCTTGTGTCTTTATTCTACATAGAAGTCTCTGAGCATACAAAAAGTGAGATGTTGAACCCCCTCCCTTTACCCAAAGCTTTGCTTATGAACCCTTCGGGGTCTGTCTCTGGAAGGAGGGTGCTGTGGAACCAGGCATGCCTGCATTCTGCACTCTGGGCCAGTAATTGGATCAGCCTGTGGTCTGTCTCCTCAGGAGGCTGGTGTTCTCCGAGAGACGACCCATTTCCAAATTTCCTCCCTCCAGATGTTTTTGTCCTTCACCCTCATTCGCACAGGTAGGGAGACTGGGCCTCATGGGTGTCCTTGAACTACTTTCATCCAGAGCAGGCTTAGACTGGTATTGAGAGACTGGGTCTGTAGGTGTAGGCCTGTCCATTACAACAACAATTCTGTTACCAGAGTTTGAGCTCTGAGCCTCGTCTTGTTCAGCCAACTCCCCATCATCCTCAGACTCTGAGCTATCAGTCTCACCAAAACGGCCAGCTTCTTGTGAGTGCCTGGGAAAC